ATGTTTAGGATCGTTAGCTCTTCTTGTTGTATCGATCCTTTTACCATTATGTAATGGCCTTCTTTGTCTCTTTTTATCTTTGTTGCTTTAAAGTCTATTTTATCAGAGATGAGAATTGCAACTCCTGCTTTTTTTTTGCTCTTCATTTGCTTGGTAAATCTTCCTCCATCCCTTTATTTTGATCCTTTGTGTATCCTTGCATGTGAGATGGGTTTCCTGGATACAGCACACTGATGGGTTTTGGATTTTTATCCAATTTGCCAGTCTGTGTCTTTTGATTGGTGCATTTAGTCCATTTACATTTAGGGTTAATATTGTTATGTGTGAATTTGATACTGCCATTTTGATGCTAAGTGGCTGTTTTGCCTGTTAGTTGTTGTAGATTCTTCATTATGTTGATGCTCTTTAGCATTCAGTGTGATTTTGGAATGGCTGGTATTGGTTGATCCTTTCTATGTGTAGTGCCTCTTTTAGGAGCTCTTGTAAAGCAGGCCTGGTGGTGACAAAATCTCTGAGTACTTGCTTGTTCGCAAAGGATTTTATTCTTCCTTCACTTCTGAAGCTCAGTTTGGCTGGATATGAAATTCTGGGTTGAAAGTTCTTTTCTTTAAGAATGTTGAATATTGGCCCCCACTCTCTTCTGGCTTGTAGTGTTTCTGCTGAGAGATCTGCTGTGAGTCTGATGGGCTTTTCTTTGTGGGTGACCTGACCTTTCTCTCTGGCTGCCCTTAGTATTCTCTCCTTTATTTCAATCCTGTTGAATCTGACGATTATGTGCCTTGGGGTTGCTCTTCTTGCGGAATATCTTTGTGGTGTTCTCTGTATTTCCTGCAATTGAGTGTTGGCCTGTTTTGCTAGGTGGGGGAAATTTTCCTGGATGATGTCCTGAAGAGTATTTTCCAGCTTGGATTCATTCTCTTCGTTCCCTTCTGGTACACCTATCAAACGTAGGTTAGGTCTTTTCACATAGTCCCACATTTCTTGGAGACTTTGTTCATTCCTTTTTGCGCTTTTTTCTCTGATCTTGGTTTCTCGTTTTATTTCATTGAGTTGGTCTTCGGCTTCTCATATTCTTTCTTCTGCTTGGTCAATTCGGCTAATGAAACTTGTGTTTGCTTCGCGAAGTTCTCGTATTGTGTTTTTCAGCTCTTTTAATTCATTCATATTCCTCTCTAAGTTATCCATTCTTGTTATCATTTCCTCATATCTCTTTTCAAGTTTCTTAGTTTCTTTGCATTGATTTAATACATGATCTTTTAGCTCAGAAAAGTTTCTCATTATCCTCCTTCTGAAGTCTAATTCCCATCATTTCGTCACAGTCATTCTCCGTCCAGCTTTGTTCCCTTGCTGTTGAGGAGTTTTGGTCCTTTCTAGGAGGCGAGGTGTTCTGGTTTCGTGTGTTTTCCTCCTTTTTTCGCTGGTTTCTTCCCATCTTTGTGGATTTATCCGCTTGTCGTCTGCGTAGTTGCTGACTCTCCGATTGGGTCTCTGAGTGGACACCCAGAATGTTGATGATGAATTATTTCAGTTGCTTGGTTTTCCTTCTACCACTCTAGCCCCTTTGCTGTGCGACTGCTGAGGTCCGCTCCAGGCCCTGCTTGTCAGGGGTGCACCTCTAGCAGCTGTGGCACAGCGAGGGATGCTACCAGTTTCTTTTTCTGCTATGTTTGTCCCAGGATGACGCCTGCCAAATGTCAGTCTTTTGGATATAAAGGGGTCAGTGAGCTGCTTGAGGAGACAGTTTGTACTTTATAGGAGCTCAATTGCTGAGCTGTGATCTCTGTTGTGCATTTAGGGCTGTTAGGCTGCTATGTTTGATTCTGCTGCAACAGAGCTCATTTAAAAAAACCCTTTTTTTTCTCCAATGCTCTGTGTTGAGGGGTTTGGGCTATATTTTTGGATGTCCGTTGAGGTCCTGCCCAGTTAGGACGCAGACTAGCCACTGTTTGCCTGCCGAGGCTCTGTCCTGCTGTTGTGTGGTTCGCCCTGTTGTGCAGACTCTGCTGTTCTGCTGTGTTCTCCGCCACGCCCTGCGGCAGAGTCTCTCTGTTGTAGTGGGTTGCCTCGGCAACGGCAGGCTGCGTCAGCAGCGGGCGTGTATCAGTATGGACGGGTTGCCTCGGCAACGGCTGGCTGCGTCAGCAATGGGCGTGTATCTCAGTTAAGGCGGGTTGCCTCGGTAATGGTGGACGCCCCTCCCCCACACAGTTTCTCGGGCCGTCTGCACGGGGATTGTTTGAAATTGCGGTTTTGTTCGTCCCACTGGGCCACCTTAAACGCTCTGTCCCTGCAATCCCCTGGGCTGGCCCACTGTCCACGTCTCGCTCAGTCTCAAGTCCAGCCCTCTCACGTCTCCGGTTGCTGGTTCAACAGGGCACCCGGACAAGCACACCCTGTGGGGAGTGCTGGGCAGGGCCGGCCGCTGCCACTCGGGCTGCCGGCTTCGCCAGGCAGAGGTTCTGCCTGGCGTCCCGCGTCTCCTCTTCACTTGGGAATTTCCCCGTTCCGTGGGCAACAAAGATCAGTCTGGAAATGCAGCTTCGACTCACCTCTCCACGGACTCAACGAGAGCTCCAATCCTGGGTTGTTCTCACAGCACCATCTTGAGTCCTGTTCTGTTCTTGTTCAGAAGTACAATTCTCATTATTCAGTCAACATGATCTTGTAGTTAGAAAATCATTAAAAATTAACTGAAAACTGTTAGAACCAATAAACAAGTTTAGTAAATAACAGAATACAGATAATATATAAAAATGAATTTTATTTCTGTACACAGGAATGCACAATCCAAAGATGAAATTAAGGAAGCAATTGTAGTTACAGTAGAATCAAAAGCAAAATACTTAGGAATAACTTACCAAAAAAAAGTGTAAATTGAAACACGGAAAACTGAATAGTGAGTGTCAGAAACACTACGGTATCATCCATGGGCCTGATCTCTGTTGTGAACTGACTCGCCCCACGTTGGGCACCAGCTGTTGTGAACTGAACGCGAGCCCGGGAATCTCGTCCAGTGAGAGGGTCCCAAACCTGGAAGAGAGCGTGCGCTGGAATAAAGGAGATAGAAAAGGCGAGGTCTGGAGGGCTACATGCGCTATGCTCATGCAGCAATTTTATTTTTGCAATGTGTTTCATTATATACTTTTCTAAATTTAAAGTTGTTTACACCAGATTAACGTACTTAAGTTACAGTAGGCAAGTTACACCCAGTAAGTAAGTTAAGCCCCATAAGTAGGCTACGCCCAGTAAGTAGGTTACTTCCAGTAAGTAGGTTACGCCCAATAGGTCAAGGTAAGTAGATTACAGTCACGCCCTGTAAGCTATGGTAAGTTACAGTTACGCCCTGTAAGTTATGGTAAGTAAGTTACCAAGTGTAAATACTTAAGTTAATATTTTACAATGAAGGTAACAAGGGTCCAAAATGAACAGAATCAAGCAATAAACCATAAGGACCCAAAAGTAGACACAATGCCTTCCAAGTCCTTGCATCCATAAAGTAATGTCTGTTAATTATTTTGGATAACATATAGTTCCTCTCTCGGTTCCTACTTTCCTTCAGCTCAACTCCCCCAACCAGGGATCTGTTTCTGGGCTCAAGCTCACCGTAAGGTGAGGCTCATTTCCCAGGGGCCTTACACAGGAGTGATCCCCACAGGTCTCCCTTAGATCACCTTGGCCCTGAGGAGTTTATCTTCATGGAGAGAGGTAAGGGATTGTATTCTTGGCTTTACTCTTATTAGAGGTGAGCTCAGGGTGAGATCTATATATTCAAATGTGTATTTCTATATCTATTTTTATGGATAGAAGACAGGCCCACAAAGAGAGGGAATGACAATCCATATCATAGAAGGTGAAATATCAGGCACTGATTTCCCCCATGTAAACCCCACCAATTATTCTGTATTTAAAGGAGTCCCAGATACGATACCAATATGTGTTCAAGAGAGAGGCCTGAGATCCAGGTGTCTGAGGAAAGAAAGCTAGGAATGCCAAAGTCTCAGGCAAGAGTGCCCTGGGAATATCAAGGCTGACTTTCCTGGATCTGCAGAATAGTCACTGAAGGGCAATTGTAGGATCAGAAGACAGATAAACTTGAAAAAGGCAGGGCATACATTAGTAGAAGAGAAAACCAGGGATAGGCCTTGGGCAAGAGTGAAGCCTTTCACACCCTCTATCCACCCATCCCTAAGCTTTATTCCCTTTCAACCCAACCCCATTCCGCTTCTCAAGCCCATATCAACCCTGATCACTCAAATTGGGCATTTCCTTGTTTCAAGAGGAACTTCAGTGGTAGTGGAAGCTCTGAGGAACCCCTGTGCCTAGATTTCAGCAGAAAACAGAAAAAAAGGGGGGGCAATGTTCAGGTCCATCTCACACAAACAAGAAGATTAGATTGATAAATGGGTGGATGGATCTTGGGGAATCTCTGGAGAATAAAATTCAGACACTTGTAGTGTAAATTGGCACAAGGACCCTGGCGTGCACCTACCCTATGACCCTGCTATTGTATTGCAGTGCGTACCCTAGAACATTTTTCCAACTGTGTAATAAAATCCACTGAAGCTCACACCTGTAATCCCAGCACTTGTGAAAGTCAAGGTGGGCAGATCACTTGAGGATACGAATTTGGGACCAGCCTGGCCAACATGGTGAAACCCTGTCTCTACTAAAAATACAAAAATTAGCCAGCTGTGGTGGTGCGTTCCTGTAGTCTCAGCTCCTGGGGAGGCTGAGGCAGGAAGATCGCTTCAACCCTGGAGGTGGAGGCTGCAGTGAGCCAAGATCTCGCCATTGCACCCATTGCCTGGGTGACAGCGAGGATCCATCACACACACACACACACACACACACACACACACACACACACACGTTCTATAACAGCAACACCTATAGCAGAACTTAAAAAGGAAGGTTACTCAGTAATATAATCGACTAGTTGGCCCGCATTCGAATTTTCCCATTCTCACAATATGTCTGGTTGTCAAACCGATTTAATAAAGAACCAGATTCCACGTCTGTCAGGCGGATAGACTCCAATCCCGATCCATCCTGGGCTCCTGCTTGGAACAGAACTTCCCGCCTCAGTACCGCAAGGTCTATTGGGAAACGCAGTCTCGGCTTCCAATGACGTCACCAGCACAGAAGGGTGGAAGGGCCATTTGGATTCCTTTGCGAATGCGCCGCTCCACCCACTTCCGCCATCTTCTGCCTGAGAATCTTGGCTGTTGCTGCCATCAAGAGGCTGCTCTGAAGGCTGTGAGGTGGGTGTCTTTGACCCTGCTGGTTGGTGATAGGATGAAACAGGAACCGGCGGGCTTGGGGGCGCCCTTGGGAGATGGGACCGACGTGCTGCAGTTGATGGGAGCATTGGCGTGGGCGCATCCCAGTGGGCGGGACCTGACGTGCAGGTGATTGCAGCAGACCTGGGTGAGGGCTGAAAGGGTGGTGCTGTTGGGAGGGCGGGCATGGGGGTCCTGGCTCTGAAGCCAGCTCCAGAAGTGCTGGAGAGTGGGGGCTAGGCCGGTGGTGCGGGGACGGGGTCTGCAGGCTGTTGGAACCTGGAAGCTGCGGGGAGCTCGCGCTCCGGCGCTGCATGGATCTTGTAACCTGCGCTGCGTTCTGTGCACCCCCCTGTAAGGTCAGCATATGGACAGTTTTAGGGAGATGCCCCTCGTTCCCAGAGTAGCGCGTGCACAGCGTCTATACTACTTGGCGATTGCATTAGTGGGGTTTCCCAGTGTCTCTTCAGCAAGTGAAGATTCTGCTTGTGTCACCTTCCTAACCATCCCGTCCCCACTTTATAGTTTATACAAGATTTGGTTTCTAGGAAACATGGGTTCTCAGATGATGGTCCAGTTTTCTTTGTAATAAAGTAGGTGTTACAAGATTTGGAGGAGGGCACCCTTTAGGAATCCCACCTAAGCACCCCTCTGGACTCTCTCACTGGTACCTCAAAGCAGAGGAAGTGTTACAGGTGAAGAGCCCAGCTTGTATGACCCAAGCAATTATTTTTCCACTCCTCAGAGTGCTCAAGGTTTGGTTGATAATACCTTATCCAGTAGCTCTCAAAGACTGGGTGGTAGCAGAAGGTTTGGACCAACATTCAGAAGGAAGAGGCGAATTTGGCTGAGAGTGACAGGCAAAGGCCAAGGAGATGTTACTTATTGCAGGGGACTTAACGGTGTTCTTAGGTGGAAAAATAACTGTTATACCTGAGAGGATCTGTTTGGGGTACTCTGTAAAGACACTTTCATTCCTTCAGTCTTTTCTTATTGTTTTCAGTGTCTGAGCTTTCTTCAGAGTAGTCTAGGCTGGGCGTGGTGGTTCACGCCTGTAATCCCACGACTTTGGGAGGCCAAGGTGGGAGTATCACCTGAATTCAAGAGTTCGAGACCAGCCTGGCCAGCATATAGTGAAACCCCCATCTCTACTAAAAATAGAAAAATTAGCTGGGTGTGGTGGTGGCACCTGTAATCCCAGCTACTTGGGAGGCTGAGGCAGGAGAATCACTTGAACCTGGGAAGTGGAAGTTGCAGCCAAGGTCGCACCACTTCACTCCAGCCTGGGAGACAGAGTCTCAAAAAAAAAAAGTAGTCCAGGCAGAGATGGGAGGATCACCTGAGATCAGTAGTTCAAGAGCAGCCTGGCCAGCATATAGTGAAACCCTGTCTCTACTAAAAAATTCAAAACTCAGCTGGGTGTAATGGTGCACACCTGTAGTCCTAGCTACTTGGGAAACAGGCAAGAGAGTCGCTTGCACCCAGGAAGTGGAGGTTGCAGTGAGCTGAGATTGTGCCAGTCTACTCCAGCCTGGGCAACAGAGTGAGACTTCAAGTCTTAGAAAAAGGTTTATCACAAAATTTAGCATCTAGTGATATGCCGAAGCTACCTCTATCCTCATCCTGGCAGTTCAGTAAGGGTTTGCCAAAGTACTTTTACCTTATGAGAAAGATGAAAAAAATTTGGCTTTGAGGAGCTGTGACATACCAGGGTCACATGATATATAGATATTATGCATCCTGACTTTTTGGCTGGTGTTACTCATTTTGCCTCAATTAAGTCAAAACTGTTTCCTTTTGAAATTTTTGTTGACACTGAAGCTAAGAGCAAACATTGCTTTAAAGTATTTTCCCAGCTGCTCCCCACCTGCCCACACCTCCCTCCACAAAAAAATTAAAGTACCTTCCCTTGCCATTGGGAGGCCAAGGCAGGAGGATTGCTTGAGCCCAGAAGTTTGAGAATAGCCCGGGTCATACATGGAAAGCCTATGTGTTAATTAAAAATAAATTAACATTTAGCTGGTTGTGGTGGTATGCACTTATGGCCCCAACTGCACTTGAGCCCAGGGGGCAAAGTTATAGTGAGCTGTGGTTGTGCCATTGTGTTCCAGCCTGGATGACAAAGCGAGACTCTGTCTCAAAACCAAGCAGCCAACCAGAAACATTTCCTTAACCATCGCTATTCTTTTTTTATTCCCAACTCTTGGTGAATTATGTGACCTCAAGGGTAAATAACATAAGTGTTTACCACTTAGTGTCAGTAATCTGAAATTATAAATTCTGTAGGAAAACATTAGCATATTTTATATATTTAAAAAGGGAAGATTAGACTGTGTCCCACTTCTACTCCAAACCATACCTTAAAATAGTAAGTAGAATACAGCACAATGCTCACTTGTAAGAGTTCCTTTTTGTGTATTTTGTATTTTAAAGTCAACAGATTATTTTTATGATGTAAAGAACCTTAAAACACAGTTTCTACATATTCAAGTGTAAGATTTATTGCCGAGGTAAAATAAGGAAGCCGAGGCAGGTACAAAAAAAGGTGAGAAGCCAATTTATTCAGCTCCCGGGCAACCTCAGTGGTCCAAGAGGGGCCAGAGAAGTCGCACCCGGCTGTTCAGGGCGTGGGGTTTTATGGGGTATGCAGGCAATTGATTGGTTACTGGGGAAACAAAGAGAAGGCATTTCTATTGGCTATAGAGGAGTAGGAAGTACAGGGAGTTAAAGTAGGAAGTACATGAAACTAGCTGCCATTGGTAGGTGGGCAGGACTTTGGGTAAGTGGGCCTTGATTGACTACCAGTGAAAGAAAGAGAAGGCATCTCTATTGGCTGTTGAGGAGCAGGAAGTACATGGAGTTAAAGTAGGAAGTACATGAAACTAGCTGCCATTGGTAGGCGGGACCTTGGGTAAGTGGGCCTTGATTGACTACTGGGGAAACAAAGAGAAGACATTTCTATTGGCTGTTGAGGAGCAGGAAGTACATGGAATTAAAGTAGGAAGTACATAAAACTAGCTGCCATTGGTAGGTGGGCAGGACCTTGGGTATGCGGGCCTGCTGGGGGTGTACAGGACAGGCTGTTGCTGGGCAGGGAACTGTGGGGCTTCTTTTGAAAAAAATTTTTCTGCAGGGTTTTTAAACAGGCTGGAGGTTGGATGCATAATTTAGTGCTGAGTGTGGGCTTGGGCATGGTATGCAGAGGTGGATGCGGGGAAGCTTTGTGGGGAAGCCAGATAATGACCTCGGGTGATGACACAGTTATCAGGCTTGGAGAGTGATGAATGTGTTCGTTTGACTCCTGGCAAGGCAAAAACCAGTTGCTTTTTATGGTTCACATCATCTGGCACCAGCTGTCTCACCGATTTCCATGAAGTTGGCATTTATTGTGATTTGCAAAACTTCTTCATGAGGTTGTGATGTTCTAATGATAGTATTTGACAAGTAATTTTACATTAGCTCCTTCAAATGGTTGTCTTAAAAATATTGCGTTCTGGTGGCTTAGGTGTATCAGTGTTCTCTATGAAAAGAATGAACCAAAACTCACTGGCTTAAAAATAAACAACTGTTTTATTTGATTGAGGTTCTACTGATTCACATTTTGGCATGTGTTCACCTGGGCATTTCCTATGCTAATGTTGTCTGGATCACAAATGAAGCTTTAGTCATCTGGTGCCTCTACTCACATGTATGGTGGTTCATGCTGACCCTTGTCCAAGAAGGGAAGCACCTATTTTTCATTATATTTTCTAATGTCCCATTCAGCCAAAGCAAGTCAAATGGCAGAGCCCCATTTGTTATCAGCATACTATATAAGGTCTTAGATACAGGGAGACATGTCATTAGGATTACTAAAACAGTGTATCCCAAGAAATATACAGTGTGTACATTTTCACTGCCATATAATATAATTGTGGCCAAAGAATGTTGGTTTGCAAGATGCATACTTTCCATGATGCTTAGGTATATAAAAGCAAGATGTGTTTTAGTGGAAACACCTATATGAAATCATGTAGAATCTCTTTATTAGCAGTGAAATAGTTAATGCAGCCCAAGTATATTTTACAATATTAATCTCATGGAAGACTAAATGTATCTTTCTTTGGTTTAAATTATTAAATTATTTCTTTGGATAAATTAATTGTTCCTAAATCAGTAGGTAATACATGTTTTCATTAACCCCAAAATAAATTGTTTGTATCTCTACCAGTTAATGTACTTGTGGGTACATCTTCAGCAGGGTATGTGTTACCCCTTATTGAGGCATGAATGACTATCCATTACAGAGAGGTTTTTTTTGTTGTTGTTTTAGTCTGTTCCAGCTATTGTGTAGAGGGTTCTGGGCAGTAGAATCTAGGACCAAGCCACACCAGTTCTCTCTTAATCCACTCCATTTGATTTTTCTCCCAGCTATGCTTCCAGAGTGCTCTGTGCATTTCCAAGATCAACAGTGAATGAATCTCTGGTGAGTTACTTGTTTATGTATGTCTCACTTTGTTTTACATTGCATTTTTTGCCTTTATGGAGTCTATGGATTGAAATGGAAAAATAAAAATAAGTAAAATTCAGGTTAAAGGAAATGCACATAAATAAAATCATGCTGGTGGGCCAGTGCAGTAGCTCATGCATGTAATCCCAGCACTTTGGGAGGCTGAAGTGGGTGGAACATGAGGTCAAGAGATCAAGACCATCCTGGCCAACATGGTAAGACCCAGTCTCTACTAAAAATACAAAAATTAGCTGGGCATGGTGGCGCTTGCCTGTAGTCCCATCTACTTGGGATATGAGGCAGGAGAATCACTTGAACCCAGAGGGTGCAGTGAGCTGAGATTGTGCCACTGTACTCCAGCCTGGTGATAGAGCGAGACTTCATCTCAAAAAAATAAAATAATGCTGACGTGGCAGTGTTCATGCCAAGGGCTTGAGACAGTAGCATGACTCACCCCATCTTGGCTGCTGGACCTATCTGCCCTCTCTCCCTGCTCTCAAGGGCTGTCGAGTTGAGGGGAGAGTGGCTAAGCTACTGAGGCAAAAAACAGAATGTAGAGTAAGGGCCTGTGGTTTATGAGGACATTGTGCTGACTGCTTCATATCCCCTTTAGTCTCTGTGTAAGCAATAGGCTTGCTGCAATTGAGATGCCTGAGAAGGGCAAAAGACCCTGCCCATATTTTCTCAGGAGCTGAGCCTTTGCTCTACCTCCTGATGGAAAACATAGTTAACAAGCCACCTTAAGGGAACCATTGTTTGTTTGCACTGTGTATCTTTGAAAAACATATATTAACTGTTAAACTGCTTTGTAAGCTATTATCACAAGCCCCCTTGAAACTGCTTTGTGAGCTGTTATCACAGGCCCCTGATAACTATTTTTGTGTGATTTCTGTTCCCTTTTCTGTTTGCCCCCTTTTCTGCTGAGCTAAAGTAAATGTAACAAGAATAAAAGGTATAAAAGCTGTCATCCACAGAAATAAAGTTGCTGCTTGACTGCAAGTAGACCTCCAGACTCCACTTTTCTATATTCTTTCACTTCCACGTGCTCTCTCCCTCAGGTTGAATGAGACATCTACATTGGTGGTCTCGGGGACTCCCGCGGGCCGGTAGCCCCCTGGTAGACGTGCCGGACCCTGACATCTGGTGGCCCCGAACTGGGACCTGAGTACGAGAAGTACAGTGATGCATCCCAAATCAGAGGAGACAAGGTAAAGCCGCGGTTCTTGTAGTTCTGGACTCAAAATTAATCTGCAGTAAAGATGGAGTAATGTGAGTTCAGAAATCAGTCTGTGTTTTTAATGTTGATGCATCAAATGTTAAGAAATAGAGGAGCTGATGTAAAAATGAAACGTGTTTCTAAGTTTTTAGAGATTGTCTATGTATTGTGTCCATGGGTCCCTGAGGAGGGATCCTTAGATGAAGCTACGTGGAGTAAAATAGGAACTAAGATTGAGGAATATGCCACCGCTCATCAATCTTCCCCGCAGGCAGAACTGTTACTTTTGGTTTGGCCGCAGATGTGCCATGCTGTCTGCCTGCCTTCCTGCAATGCTGCTTGCAAGCACTGACACTCACTGCTTTCCTGCTGCCTCTCTTGCTTCTAATCCCTCTTCCTCTTACAAATCTAACTCTGATGATGGAGGGGGCAGCTGTAATTTACCACCTTGTAATCCTCTAAATGAGCCCGATTCCGCCCTCGGAGTCAGACCTGGAGCTGGAAGTGGAGGAGCTCAGGACACCCCCGAGCAATTTTTCAGGCTCCTGGTTTTGCTTTCTAAACCTGCTCAAGCTTTTCCTGTGGTTACTATGCCTTCTTTTAGACACTGGAGCAGATGTTTCTGTAACTTCCTCAGAGTTTTGGCCCCCTGCACAGCCTGTCACACAGGCTGTCCCTGCAGGGCATAGGCACTTTCTCTAACCCTTATCAGCCATCTCAGCTGTTATCTTGGTCAGATAATAGAGCTGGTCCAGGAACAGCTCGCAGCTGGCAATTTAAGACATTCTGATAGTCCATGGAATACTCCTATTTTTGTCATTAGAAAGAAATCTGGTAAATGGAGACTCTTACAAGACCTTAGGAAAGTAAATGAAATTATGGAAGTCATGGGACCTCTGCAACCTGGTCTCCCTTTGCCTGTTGTTGTTTCTCAAAATTGGGAATTACTAGTTATTGATTTGAAAGATTGCTTCTTTTCCATCCCCTTGGCACCTCAAGATTGCTGCAGGTTTGCCTTTAGTGTTCCTGCAACCAATTTTGACAGGCCTTTTGAACGCTATGAGTGGACTGTTCTACCTCAAGGTATGGCGAATAGCCTGAACTTGTGTCAGAAATTTGTTGCTCAGGCAATTGCGCCCCTCCATGAGCACTATCTGGATGCTCTTTTGCTACATTATATGGATAATCTCCTTTTGGCCACTCCTTCCCCCAGCCTCCTACAGGAAGCCTTTCGGGATTTAAGCGACCTCCTTACAAATTCAGACTTAGTTATATCTCCTGTTAAAGTTCAAAAAGTAACTCTTTTCCATTACTTAGGTCGCCTCATTGACTCCAATCAAGTGTCCTCTAAGACTCCTGTCTTACCTACTGCCCATCTCAGTACATTAAATAAATTCCAAAAGTTTTTGGGAGACATTAATTGGATCAGACCTAGCCTTAAATTAACTACTGGTCAGCTCAAGCCTCTTTTTGATATGCTCAGAGGCCCCGCAGACCCAAAGTCTCCCCGGACACTTACTGATGAGGCTAGAAATGCCTTGCAATTGGTGCAAGATGCTTTCTCAGAACAAAAACTAAACCGTGTCTCTATTGGGGTATCTTGGTGTTTATGCATTTTACACACCTCCTACACCCCCACAGGCCTCTTCTGGCAAAAGGGAATCTTGGAGTGGCTCCATCTGTCCACCAGTCTGCCTTGTATTGTACTCCTTATCATGAATTAGTGTCCATGCTAATTGCCAAAGGCCGCCTCAGGGCACTTGCTCTCTTTGGCTCTGACCCACCTCTCATAATTGTTCCTTACACCACTCAAGAACAGTCCTGGTTATGGTCATTCTTTGACTCATGGCAAATAGCTTTTGCAGGTTTCTCAGGACAACTTTCCTGTCATTACCCCAAAGACAAAATATTGCATTTTTATTCTCAATGTAATCTAATTTTCCCCAAAACTTGTTCTTTGCAGCCAATTTCTCAGGCCACTTTGGCATTTACAGACAGTTCCTCAAACGGACTTGCTGCTGGACAGATTGATGATGTTCCCTTTTCTTTCCAGACACCTGAAACTTCCATCCAAAGGGTGGAATTGCTTGCTGTTCAATATATGCTCTCTACTTGTGGTCAATCAGTTAATATATACTCTGACAGTCAATATGTAGTTAACTTGATTAATCTGCTGGAGATAGCACCCCTATTATTCTCTGACAGTTCTGCTATAATACACCTACTTCTTCCTTTACAGCAGACTATCCGCAAGCAGACTCATCAATTTTTTTATTGGCCATATTTGTGCACATACTAACAAGGCTCACGTAGCCTGCAACTGCAGTTTCACATCACCAGAGAACAGGCTCGTGCCATTGTTAAGCAATGCCCTGCTTGTGTGACTCACTTGCCTCAAACTGCACATACCGGAGTAAACCCTCGTGGCCTACAGCCTGGCCACATCTTTCAGATGAATGTCACCCATATTGCTTCTTTTGGTTGTTTAAAATATGTGCATGTAACCATTGACACTTTTTCTCATTTCATAATAGCTTCAGCCCATACAGGAGAGGCAGCAGTCAAGGATGTGACTGCTCATTGTCTACTCGTGTTTTCCAGCCTAGGTGCACCAAAAATTTTGAAGACTGATAATGCTCCAGCTTATACCAGTTCTTCATTCCAAACCTTTTGTTCTCAATTTCAGGTGATTCATAAGACAGGAATTCCCTATAATCCTCAGGGACAGGGAATTGTTGAATGTGCTCATGCCACCCTTAAAACTTTATTACTTAAACTAAATAATTCACCTCCTTCCTTTTACAAGTCTCCACATGATGTACTTCGGCATGCTCTTTATGTTCTAAACTTTTTAACCCTTGATGCCCAGGGCCACTCAGCAGCTGATCATTTCTGGCACCCAAGGGACTCGGCCACGCCTATGGTGTTATGGAAAGATTTTTTCTCTAATCAGTGGAATGGCCCTGACCCAGTGTTAATTTGGGGCAGAGGTCACGTTTGTGTTTTTCCTAGATCTGCCCCCTCACCTATCTGGGTACCTGAATGACATGCCAAGCATGCCCCAAAGAGGACAGTTCTCCCCAAGACTAGTGACCGTCCCATTTCCCTGACTGACATCTCCCCATCAGCTGTGCCCTCAGATGACTTCACGGAACTCCCTTCTCCCAAGAATCCGACGTCTACATCTGCAGAGGACAATGCCCTGCCATGCCCATCGCCCTCGGCACCAGCCAGCGCCTTTTCAAGAAGTTCCAGTCCCCACCTGGACCCAAATGCAATGCCTGGTGACTGATGCGTCACGCATTGTTCGTCAGCAAGGACACTCCCACTCTGTTTTTAGCCATGCTAGCTGTTTTGTCTTGTGATCCTATGTTGGCACGTTCTGTGTCCACTTATGATTCTCCGGGTGCTTTTTGGGACTGTGTCCCTGATCCTCCTTTACTCTGCCCTGTTACTTGGGATGACCCTGCCTTTACTGTCTTTCTTAACGACACCTCAATATTTGGCACCCCTTCAGCCGCTCATATCTATCCTCAATCAGCAGATTACACATTCTTTGGTCAATCCATTTCTCCTCCTATGTGTTTCCATGCTGCCAAACTGTATTCTATGCCCTTTTACATAGAGGATCCACATTACACACCTGTAACTACTGCTCAGCCTTCACCCTCCTATTGCTTCAATTTAGGCATTTGCAGTTCTTTTGCTTATAGTGGCCTTGAAGCTGCACTCAAGGGTTCTCTCCAATTTGCTAGAAATTGGGTTACATCCTATATTGGACTCAGGGAATCATCAGAAGTTACTCCTGCTAAACTGCCCATATACGACCAGCAACATTGCTATAAGACCAACAAATCTTTTGACCCTGCACCTGTCTGGCGCCCTTGTCTTCCCCCATCAGCTCATGCTCTTCACTCCCACCTTATTACAGGGTTTCCTCTTTATGATTGGTCTGTACCCTCTCATCTTTCTGGCCTCTATCGGTATGTAGTTCCCGGAGCATGGAATACTCTGTATACCATAGCCTCTGGCAAAACCTATTCCTCTTTATGGAGGCTTTTTCTGGCTATTCATCCTTCTACAGTCTATGCAGGCCTTGGAAGCAATGTTGCTAAGCCTGTACAAACCTTCTCCATCCATTCTTGTGTAGCCGCTCCCTATGCCTTTTTGCTAGGGCCAGTGTCTTTTCATGTTCAAAATGGTCATTATACTATTTCCTGTTTAAATTGCCTACTCACAAACTGTAGTGATGCTTCCAGGTTCCCTGTTGATACAATTTTTATTGTTCATCAACCCCCTTATGTTATGCTCCCTGTAAATATTTCAGGTCCTTCGTATGATGAACATTCATACTCTCTGTTCTACAAAACCCAATCTCTGCTCCTTTGATGCCAAAAACGTTTCCTTGGTATGTTCATTGCTGGAATTGTTGCCATTGTGTCTGTGATAGCTTCTACAGCTACAGCTGCTGTCGGTCTTACTAAATCTGTTAATACCTCTGTATATGTAAATCATTTAGCCAAAAATGTTTCTATTGCTATGGGAACTCAAATGTCTATTGATGATAAATTAGAAGCTAAACTGAATGCCTTAGAACAAACTGTAACCATACTAGGGGACAACGTGTATAACTTACAAAATAGACTTTCACTTCACTGTCATGCTCATTATAAATACATATGTGTTACCAGCACTCCTTACAATGGTTCCCAGTGGCAGTGGCCACTTATTAAGGCCCATTTACAGAGCATCTGGTCTCATAACAATCTCTCTCTTGACATCTCACGTTTGCAGCAAGAAATTTCGGCCATTGACCTTTCTTGGTCACAATTACCTGATGATGACTCTATTGCTAACAGTTTTGTTGATGCCATGTCCTCTTGGGTACAACAGTTTCATATCCCCTCTTTTTCATCACTGCTTGCCATTGCTGCTTGTCTTATATTGCTGATGTGCTTGCCATGTGTCTTCCGCCTCTTGTCCTCCACCCTCCAAGAAGTGCAATTGAAGGTGTTTGCCCTTCATTTGCAAAGTAAAAAACCAGGAGATGGCAGTGTTCACGCCAAGGGCTTGAGACAGTAGCGTGACTCACCCCATCTTGGCTGCTGGACCTATCTGCCCTCTCTCCCCACTCTCGAGGGCTGTCGAGTTGAGGGGAGAGTGGCTAAGCTACTGAGGCAAAAAGAATGCAGAGTAAGGGCCTGTGGTTTATGAGAACATTGTGCTGACTGCTTCATATCCCCTTTAGTCTCTGTGTAAGCAATAGGCTTGCTGCAATTGAGATGGCTGAGAGGGGCAAAGACCCCTGCTCATATTTTCTCAGGAGCTGAGCCTTTGCTCTACCTCCTGATGGAAAACATAGTTAACAAGCCACCTTAAGGGAACCATTGTTTGTTTGCACTGTGTATCTTTGAAAAACATATATTAACTGTTAAACTGCTTTGTAAGCTATTATCACAAGCCCCCTTGAAACTGCTTTGTGAGCTGTTATCACAGGCCCCTGATAACTATTTTTGCGTGCTTTCTGTTCCCTTTTCTGTTTGCCCCCTTTTCTGCTGAGCTAAAGTAAATGTAACAAGAAAAAAAGGTATAAAAGCTGTCATCCACAGAAATAAAGTTGCTGCTTGACTGCAAGTAGACCTCCAGACTCCACTTTTCTATATTCTTTCACTTCCGCACGCTCTCTCCCTCAGGTTGAATGAGACATCTATGTTGGTGGTCTCGGGGACTCCCGCAGGCTGGTAGCCCCCTGGCAGATGTGCCAGACCCCGACACTGGTGTGTAGACATATGCAGGTTATAAGCCATTGAACTTAACTACAGATGTGTTTCTGGTCTCTCTGATGATGCATCAAAATGGCAGTCACATTTGTTACATGATTGAAATGGAACCTGCAAAGAGCATATGCTGCATTCTCGTGAGACAGGAAGACTTGCTGGCACCAAAGTCTGGAACACTGTCTTCATTGGTTGCAGAGATGGCATAGTGGAAAGTTTTTTTACTACCAGTCTGGAAATACACACTTGTAGCATTCGGCAGTAGAAATAGTACTAAAGCACAACTTCCATGATGAGGTTTTTCTGGAGTTGCGAGAACAGTGTGGTCCCAGACAGCTTTTGGAAGGCCCTGCTTGATTCATGGCTAAAATCTAGAACATATGGAGGATTGAGTTGACCACAGGTCCTTCCTTACATAACCCTCACATACATTTCTGTCAGTTCATTTGTACATACAGAATTTGTAGCAGATTGTTCACTATTATATTTTCTGACAAATATTTCCACTGCTCACTCGCACTTTCATTCAATGTAGTCTTAATTGATCTATTTTAATCACCATTAACTAAATTATATGCAAATCTAATGGCTGTTCTCTATACTGCCTTACTTGAATATTGTGGGGTACAGTAATCTTCATTATTCACAGTTTCACTTTCTGTGGTTTCAGTTACCTGTAGTCAACTGCAGACAGAAAATACAATAAGATATTTTGAATATTTTGATATTTGATATTTTACAAATTTTGAATATGTTGAATATGGTAGAGTAAGATATTTTGAGAGGCCACATTCGCATAACTTTTAGTATAGTATATTGTTATAATTGTTCCATTGTATTATTGTTAATATACTGTGCCTAATTTTAAATTAAACTGTCAAGGGTATGTATATATAGGAAAAAACAGTATATATAAGATTTGGTGCTATACATAGTTTCAGGCATCTAAGAGACTTGGAATGTTTCCCCATGGATAAGGGGGTAATCCAGCGTTTCACATTATTGTTCATGATCTTCTCCTGGAAATTCTTCTGTGTTAGTTTATATCATGACCTCACTGATGATGCTTGTCTTTTTTTCCTGAATTCTTCTACTCCTTTACATAGCTTATCCATGTGTTCCATCCAATTCCCCATCTATCCCACAGTGCAGTCCTTTTTTTTTTTTTTTTTTTTAACCGTTCTGCTCTCTGTTGTGTAGCAGTTGTGTTTCTCTCCAGCTTGGACTTCTCCAACCTTCAGACCAGGGGCCTCCAACCTCCAGGCCATGGACTGGTATTAGTCTGTGGCCTGTTAGGAACTGTACTGCATAGCAGGAGGTGAGTGGCAGATGAGCAAACATTACTGCCTGAGCTTTGTCTTCTGTCAGATGAATGGCAGCATTAGATTCTCCTAGAAGCACGAACCCTATTGTGAACTATGCATGTAAGGGATCTAGGTTGCCTGCTGCTTATGAGAATCTAATGCCTGATGAACAGTTTCATCCCAAAACCATCCCCCCTCACACGCTGGTCTATGGAAAAATTTTCTTCCACAAAATCTGGTGCCAAAAAGGTTGGGGATTACTGCTGTATTCCACAGTTTCAGCTCTCCATTGAATGCTTCTTTGTATCTATCCAAAAGGCACCTCAAACTTAACAAATCTGAAATAAAAATTACATCCTTTTCTCTTCCTGTACATATGATATTAGATTAGAGAGTAATTAGATTCTACCTCTCAATAAGAGGAATAGTAAGAATCTGTAGCAGTCTTTAATAAACCGCAGTTTTTCCCCTGGCCACGAATAACTTACATTTCTCCCACATGCAAAATATGCTTACCTTTAGAGATAAGTATTCACCCATGGAACCATCAGTACAAACAATGTGATAAACACCCTTTGCCTCCACAAGTTGCTTCTTCCCCTTCCCCTGTGCCTTTTGGGATACAACCATTTGACATAAGTTACATACTCTATTGGTTCATTATCCCATTGAAATGAAGAACTACCCGAGACTGGGTAATTTATAAAGAAAAGAGGTTTAATTGGCTCATAGTTCCATAGGCCGGAGGAAGGATGGCTGGGGATGCCCCAGGAATCCCCACTTAAAATCATGGTGTAAGATGAAGGGGAAGCAGCCATGCCCTATGTGTCTGCAGCAGGAGGAAGTGGGTGATGAAGGGGGAGGTGCTGTACACTTTCAAACAACGAGATCTCCTAAGAACTTACTATCACGAGAACAGCAGGGGCAAGTCTGCTCCCATGATCCAGTCACCTCCCAACAGGTCTCTTCTCCAACCTTGAGGCTTACAATTTGACATGAGATGTGGGCAAGTATGCAAATCCAAAGCATACCATCCTCTTAACAAAATTTTAAGTATACATGCATTGGTCTGTGGATTCGACATTTAGAATTTACTCATTGCATAACTAAAACTTATATCCTGTAACCAATACCTTCCCACTTACCCTTCCCCCTCAGACCTTGGTAACCACCATTCAGTTCTATGTTTTTATAAGTTCAACTGTTTTATATTTTTATTTAAGTGGAGTTTCACAGGCTCTACAGGAAGCATGGCTTCATTTGTGCTGGAGCAATAAAATACTTCAGACTTGGTAATTAATAACAGAAATTTATTCTTAAGAGTTCTGAAGGCTGGGAAGTCCAAGATCAAGGCACTGTCATCTGATGCCTGAGGAGAGACTTCTTCCTGCATCTTTACATGGTGGAAGGCAAAAGAGTGGCAGAGAATGAAGGCACTCCCAGTCCATTCAAGAAGGCCCTAATTCATTCAAGTGGGAAGAGCCCTCACCTCATCACTCCCCCGAGGCCTCACTTTCTAATATTATCATCTTGGTAATTAAACATGAATTTTATGGGAATACATACATCCAGACTATTGCAAATGGGATTATGTACTACTTTGTTTTGGTCTGGCTCATTTCTTCCCTTAGCACAATTATCTTCCAGGTATGTACATGTTGTTGCAAATGGCAAGATGTTCTTCCCTTTTTTTTTTTTTTTTTTGGTGAGACAGTTTTCGCTCTTGTTACCCAGGCTGGAGTTCAATGGTGCGATCTTGGCTCACTGCAACCTCCCCCTCCTGGGTTCAGGCAATTCTCCTGCCTCAGCCTCCTGAGTAGCTGGGACTACAGGCGCGTGCCACCATGCCCAGCTAATTTTTGTATTTTTTAGTAGAGATGGGGTTTCACGATATTGACCAGGATGGTCTCGATCTCTTGACCTCATCATGATCCACCCGCCTCTGCCTCTCAAAGTGCTGGGATTACAGGCGTGAGCCACGGCGTCCAACTCACAGTTTTACCTTTTAATTAACAGATATTATTTAATTTGGTTTAAAGTTCTCCTTTAACGTCATCCTCAGCAAACTGACACAAGAACAGAAAATGAAACACCGCATATTCTCACTCATAGGCGGGTGATGAAAAATGAGAACACATGGACACAGAAAGGGGAGTACTAAACACTGGGGTCTATTAGGGGGAAAAGGGGAGGGCCAGTGGTAGGGGGAGGTGGGGAGGGATAGCCTGGGGAGAAATGCCAAATGTGGGTGAAGGGGAGAAGGAAAGAAAAGCATACTGCCATGTGTGTTCCTACGCAACTGTCTTGCATGCTCTGCTCATGTACCCCAAAACCTAAAATCCAATAAAAAATTTAAAAAAAAGTTCTCCTTTAAAGGGTGTGATTTTACATGCTTAGCTTTTAATTGCTTTTTTTAAACTAATTCGTTCTTTTTTTAATAGCTGATTGAAATTTATAATCTAAATTTGCAAAGTTAGGAGTACTTTATCCTCATACATCTGTGTGTGTAAGCCACATACAAGGTGAGGAAAGGGAGACATGGGAAAGGAAAATAGCCTATAAAAGACCTAAGTCCATTTTATAGCCTTCTGCCTTTTCATGAGATGAGCTTTCTTCTGTGGGTAATGAGCTGTTAACTATTTAGAGCCATTATCCAGGAGGTGATGTGTTTTTTCACCACTGCTTCTGTGGTGGACTGTACACTCCCAAACAGGAGTGGCAATAAGCAAGGGAGTATTAGACAGCTGCCTAATATAAGTACTATGCTCCCTATGAGAGTCTTGAATCCACTAAAAGATGAAAACCATCCACCAAAAAAGTCTGGAGTTCAACCTTTTCCAGGTTTGGACTGGAACATGGGTATAACTGTTTCATCTAGCTGCCTGTCTGTTGTCATTACTTTTTAAACAGTTGAGTTAAATTTACCACAGACTCCTCCTTCTGAGGCCAGCAGATAATCTAATGCTAGTCTGTTTTTGATAGACTGCATTTCTCATTTGTGTAGACTGTACAGCTAAGAAATATAAAGCTCTAGAGCTTTCATTAGTCATAATTTCTAATCCTGCTTGTAATCAGATATGATTAATTATATAGACGGGAGTATGGTATCCCCACATCTCATCTTGTGCCCAAGTAGCTGTACCATAATAGTTAATTATTCTCTCTGAAGGCCAATCTACTTCAAACGCTGGCTAGTCTATTTTACACTGAGTTCTAAGTTTCTCTGGTGTCATTGCAGTGTATAATCTCCACTACATCCTTTCTTGAAAAATTTTTATTAACATGGCTCCTAATGGAGTGTGTTCACTCCGCATCTTACCCATCTTCCTCTGTTAGGATAAGAGCAGCACTCACAAAAGGTAAAGGGGTTGCTCACTGGCTTTGCCCATTACTGCAGCTTGGGGCTCAGCACTTTACCCCAAGTTTTCTGCCTGTTATGGCGCAGCATGCATTCTCTCTCCAATTGGGCTCTGCCACAGTCACTCACAATTACACACCTCGAACCAACCAAGTCAAGAACAGAGGCAATATTGCTAGTACCCACATAAAGACT